GTTTTCAAACCGATGCCATAGTCGTTCTTGCGCTACGGCAAAGCGGCCACGTGCAGAACAGGGAGCGAGACGGAGAGACGCAGTTCCGAGATAACAAAAAGCACCACAGAAACGCCATGTCGCCCACACGCGCACGCACACACACACACACACACAACACCACGCAAAAAAAAAAAGATAAAGCTTTCGGCTCGGGAATTTGCTTTAATGCTTGCACGACATTACATCTTTCATGACGAAGAATACACGACCAAGCCCAAGCGGCATTTCTCACAACGAAAACACCAGTTTTCGCTCATTCCAGGCGTAGCAATAGTCACGGCCGAAGCACTTGCTCTTCTAGATCGCATCCGATTCTTACAGTCAGCAAGACTACTCACACCTGTTCAACTGAGTTTAGCTCCAACAGACTAGCCTATTAGGGTCAGGAAAAATTCCTAATATGAGCTTCTTAATATCAATTTCGCGCTACCATGTTCTCCTGTATGCAGTGCAAATTATTTTTTTTCGCTTCTTCAGAAGTGTTCTTCTCGGATCGACGGTCGGGTGGGAGAGGCTAGGCAGCTGGGTTTCTAGTGAGTCTGGTGCGGCCGTGGAAGTGCTGGTTTGTGGCTGACTGTAAGAGGACCGAGGGCATATACTCACACGCGGACATTTTCCACACCACAGAGCCCTGGACGTGATTGCTGTCAGATTCATCCAGTTTGTGGCTGTGATTGCAGTCAGATGCATTTCGGAAAAGTGCTAGTGTGAGTATATGCCCTACGTCAGGTAACGCCCCGTAATTTCGAATCTCGGGGAAGGATTCCCCTCCCGGACCGTAATTTGACGCAGTTCCCTTTGTGACTGAAATCAGCCCTCGATAACCTGACATCCGAGGGCTACAGAAATTTTTATTTTTATTTTCATTTTTATTTTTATTTTTATTTTTATTTTTATTTTTATTTTTATTTTTATTTTTATTTTTATTCGAGGGCTACAGGAACTACGATGCGTATATTATCTAACTAGGGCATTTCCCAAAAAAAAAAAAAAAAAAAAAAACTAGGGCCTCGCCAGTTAGATTATATGTTGGTTAGAATAGATCTATGTCATGCAGTCGCGAACATTGGTGTGTTTTGATGAGTGACGAGCATAGAGTGGATGTTAGTGGATGGGTCGAATTCGGTGATTGGAAGGTGAGGAAGGACTGTTTGAACAGTTTAAGCTAAACCGGCTGATGCTGCCGGGATAACCCCGGGTTGAATTGTGAGGTCCCCGGCCTCGTCTATTTGGTGTTGAGAATGAATTGGATGCGTTGTAGAAAAAAAAAAAAAGATTATATGTTGGCATCGTAATCCTGTAGCCCTCGGATGTAAGGTCACTAACGGCATCCTCACACGGGTCACATTGGAGAGGTCCGTTACCCAAATGCCTCGAATGGTGACCCTTCTGTAAGCGGCCCCGCAGGCCGCGGGAGGACCCTTGTGGTCTCAAATGACCATTCGATTTATTTTTTTTCCCATCTTACCTTATTGTCAAAAGAAAACAGCCGGCCAAACAAAGACAAACACAGTATTGGTGAGAACAATTGAAAATGCATGGGATCCGGTGATGGTGGGGGATCACAGGGGGCATGTTCGACCTGAGGGAGCAAACATGATAACCAGTAGTTTACCCTGGTTGGAAAATACGCACCAGTTAGGGTCTCGTTAGACACTCCTAAAAGAATCCTAAAATTTTTAGGACGAGTCCTAAAGGTTTTTTAGGATATCGTGTGGCGTCGTTACTTGCAGTCCTAAAAATCGTCGTTCAGGATTCGTTCTAAAAGGTCCCCCGCGGCCCGTTCTCATATTCGTATACGCAGCCGCGTCGCCGATGTCCGCCGGGTCCTGGCTGGTGTCCGTGGTACACACTGCTGAGGCCTTGGGCGGGCGAGGAGGGGTGGGTGAAAAGCGCGGTCACCCCGAACTTCAAAAATTCAAATTCGAATTTTCTCGGACGCAAGGCGGCAGGGGCGGAGGACGGTCGGGCGACGCGTCTGACGTACAAAACACGGCGTTGGCGAAGCATTCGGCGCGGGTATCCATCTTCCGACTCCACGCGAGTTGTGAGCAGCGGGGGCAACTTCCGGCAAGGCGCATCTTCACCTCCGCCATGTGTGCTGTCCTGTGGACTCCGACGCACGCCATCTTCTGTTGCAGCGTACGTCAGCGGGCGTGTCTTCGGCAGTTGTGGCAGGCGTCACGCTCTTCGGGCAGAAAGATTCCCAGAGATGGATCTTCGTGTCAGCGGGCACGGTCTGCGCGAAGAGGAGATCGACGCGGTGACGATGGCGGTTACTGGCGTCATCGTGAACACGATGGGCGGCATGTCGTCGTCCTCAAGCGACATGCTGACACAGCTCCGAAAACGAAGAGCGCTGTTGCAGCGCATTGCGAAGCGCCGGATTGCATGGCCACGTGTGAGGCAGTCGTCCAATTGTGCGCCGCGCTGTCATCTGGCGTTTTCCCGCGGCGGACCCCGCGTTGGTGGATTAAATGACGGACTGGCGGGACATGGGAGGATCTACGCCTGTGTGATGACGCGACGGACGAGTCTTACCGGCAGAAGTTGCGCATGTCGTTGGCCATGTTCAGGCAGATCGTTGCCGTGTGCGCCGCGTATGTGGAGAAGAAGGTGACGCACTACAGGATGTCTTTGCCAGTGGAGCAGGTGATCGCTTTCGCGTTGTACAGGTGGGCGTCAGGAGAGACGTACGAGAGCGGCACTTCGGCCTTCGGCATCGGCAGGGCAACTGGACTGCAGGCCGTCCGCGACGTCACTTCGGCGCTGCTGCAGGCGTACCCCGACGCTATCAAGTGGCCAGTTGGCCGTAGACGTGCGCAGATTCTGCGCGCATCCCGTGACAAGGGTTTCCCGAACTGCTTCGGCGCGATCGACTGTACACACATCTACATTGACAAGCCCGCCGGCGCACCTTCCGACAACTGCTACGATCGCAAACAGAAGTTATCCGTGCAGGCGTAGGTGGTGGTGGATTTGGATCTGCGGATCCTCGACGCTCACATCGGATACCCGGGAAGCGTGCACGATGTCCGCGTCCTGCACAATTCCTAGCTGTGGAGGCGTGCAGAAGCTGGCGAGCTGTTCGACGCACCTCTGGAGAATCTGCCGCACGGTGTCGTGACGCGAGGTTACCTGCTAGGCGACAACGGTTATCCAGTTGCCTGTCCATGGATCGTGCAGCCGTACGGAGGAATCGACCAACATCCTGACGAGGAGCGCTTCGACACGCGGCGGAAGGTGGAGTGGGGGTGTGTGGAGAGGGCATTTGGGCGACTGAAGTGCATGTGGCGTCTGTTTTTGCGCACCCACAAGACAAACCTGGAGACCTTGCCACAACAATTCGTGGTAGTGTGCACTCTCCATAACATCCTCCTCGGCGAGGGGATCGACTTCGACGAGAACCTTTTGTGGGAGGTGGATGAGAACGGCATTCGTTGTAGAGTAGACTTGGGGATTGTGGGGAACGGCGCGGGCGGGCAGCGACAGAGCACGAACGTGGACGGGGACTTGTTGCGGGATGCACTTCGAGACCGCCTAGCTCTGATGTAGGACCGTGCGGACGGGAGGTGGAG